CAATTTAATCCCTTAAACATTCATTAAACCGGTAAAAATACGAAATTGTCTTGGAAAAATCTGTAAATTTTTGCATGAAGTAGTTATGATGTCCAGAATTTGAGAAAATTACTAAATATGGCTTTGGACATCATAACTGTATTTTACTATTTATGTCTTTTCAACAAAAATAAATTCGAAATCAACAGAAAAAAGTCATAGAAATTCATGAAACTTCATGTAACGTCTTTAATCATGGGTAATATCAGAAATTTTCCAGAATTTATTGACCACAAAACGTATTTTATGTGAATTGTTGCTCTATTTCCTTGAAATAATTATAATGATTCGAGAAAAGTAATTTATTTTCTGGAAAATCTCCAGAACTTCTCATTTTGTTGTTGGGATTCTGGGAAAATCGGTTTTGGGCAGAAAATGAGCTTTTGGTATTTGTTTGTGAATAAATCTTTTATGAACATATTTGAAAGCTTTTTAACAACATACTTTGATCATCTAGCATCTAAGCTTGAAGATCATCAAATGCATGTTGATTTGAAGGCCATACATGAGTTTGAAATGTTCAAAAGTCGTTTTTGAAAGAAAACTTTGGTTCATGTTGTGATTTCTCCATGAAAACTAGTATCAAAATGGGTTATTTTGAGTTTGGCATAGATTTGGGTCATGGGACTTCACCATTTGCAACATGCATGTTGCTTTTGGTTGAAATCCTACCACCATCATCATCAAAACTGAAGTGCATGAACATGCACATGAATTTTCTAAGAGAAAGGTGTAGAAGAAGAAGGAAATGCAAGAAAATCCATGAAAAGTTGAAAGGAAAATGAAGGAAAATGAAGGAAAATTGTGTTCTACCTTAATAAACACCACTAGATGATGAAGATTTTGAGTATCTTGAGTGTTCTTGGACTTATTTATGTGATAAATGGAGTGGCGGAAGAGTTGGAGTGTGAGAGAGAGAGAGAGTGAAGGAGAAGTGTGGGAAAGAAGAAGAAATGATGAGGTGCTTTGGGAAGAGGCTTTCTTGGAGAGAGGGGCCGAATTTATGAGGGAGGAGAGAGACTCCTTCTCTCTTTCATTTATTTTTATTAATCTCTTCAAAAGTTTTATAAATTTTTAAATATTTATAAAGTATGCACATTAAATCAAAATTTGTTTACAAACTCTTGATTTTATCTCCTAAAATAAGCTTAAATGTTAATCACCTAAATTTTATTTTCCATTGATTATATTTTCCTGAAATTAAATATTTTATATTGATATTATAAGGTTCATAACAAATTAATGGAGTTTTAGGTGATAAAGTTTATAAATTTGGGTTTTAGGGATTTTTAGGGTTTGGGATTCGGTAAATCTTTGGATATCAAAATTAATTGAATTTTAAGACTTCAAACCATTTTAAAGTTTCATAACTCTTATTCAAGTTATAAAAATACTTGAAATTTGTTTTTGTCGGTTTATTGGCATTTCTATGTAGTGATTCCGAAATTCAAGGGAAACGAAAGAATCAAGTATAATAGTCTTAGTATTCAACTTTGACTTGAGTTCGTACGAGACTCTGGCCTAATTTCTACTACTAGGTCAATTGCATGATGTGTCTACATGAATATACAAAAATGCTCGAGTCAAGGAATGACTCGAATTTGGATAGTTGTTACAGTTAATGGTGCTATAGAATTCACATATCAATGTGAAATCTAAGCGTACTATCCCTCGTTTCTAATTGTTTCCAAGTTTCTAGTAGGGTATGACTTAGCCTCTAGCTACCAAGACTAGCATGGGTCGTGCCTATACGTGCAACTAAGTTTATTTAAATATAGAACTGTCTCGAGTTTTGACGGTTGTCACATTAACCTCCATAAAACCCTTCCATTCTCAGCCACCATTTCCCCTAACGTCCCTCTTGAAACCCTAACCTCATTTTGGTGCATTGTGAGCTTAAACAGTATTTTAAGAGTGCTTTTGAAGGAAGAAGAAGGTGGTAGAGTTGCTTGGAAGCTTGAATCAACCTTGGATCAAAGTTCTTCTCCCTCGTTCATCTCTAGAAGGTATCAAGTTTGTACCTTTATGTTTGCATTGCTAGATCTAATTTAGATGTTGAAGTTATGCCATTTTGTCCCATTATTTCGGTCCATTTGAGTATGAACGACTCTAGACCTTGTAGAGTGAATATTCATAAGAATTTAGGGGTATTAAGTCACAAGAATGGTGTCTTGGCCATTTCCAACCATCCATGCATGAGTTTTTGCCCATAGAAGTTGTTATGCGATCAGGGTTTGTTCTTCAGCTTTGATAAGCCATGAAAGATAATAAAGTTTGGTGCTTTATCACTTAGGAAATTTATATAGACTAGATTTGAGAATTGGATGTAATGCCTTTATGTATTAAGCACTTAATGGAGAGTTTGGATTCAGCATGAGTACGCATGGCGTATCTAAGGTTATACAATATGTAGCCTGATTAAACCCTGTATTCTGAGATAAGGCTCTACGTCATGTGTAGAGCTGGAGTACGTAGGGAGTACTCGGTCTGATATTGACCTTTGACTTTTGACCATTGACCATTGACTTTGACCATTAACCGTTGAATTTGACCAATTTTGACTTTAGGTCATATGGGGTAATTTGAGTAGTAGATTGAGGCTTGGACCCTATTTAAATTTTAGGCGATTTGTAGAGCTGGTTTTTGGAGAAGTGGTTAGTTCAACTATCTTTTGGACATTCAGGTGAGTTCTTCCTCACTATACTTGAGGGTCGAAGGTTGGCATAGCTTGGTCAATTTAGTTTGGTAAAAAACTACATTAATGCATCATACAAATTTATTAATGCAAACTGTGTTCGGTCCAAAGGTTGTCATAGCTTGGTCAAATAATGATGTGTCGGTTATGTCTCCAATAAATTAGTAAATTATTTATGTGGACACTATTCAACCCAAAGGTAGATACAGTTTAACAAAATAGTTACGTTCATGTAATAAATGATTATGCTTTTATGTTTTTTTTCCTGTTCTCATGGCCATTTATGACTATTATATACTGTATAATCATTTTGTGCCTTTATTTATGAACAATTACATAACATATAATGGAGTAAAAACTAAGTCTGACAAAATTCAATGAGACGTGTATTGAATAAAGTTATTTCACTTTGGAAACTCGTTGAATTTGATATTTTTCTTGGGCATGTACGATACTACAGATAATATTTGGAAATATTTTATTCCATTGTCACGTCTATTATTTTTAGTTAAATTATTTGAAGCAAACTATTGTTAAAGTAACCTCTCTTTCGCGTACATTGGTTTCACAAATTTAATAGTTGTTTGTATGAAATTATTCATGCGAACTGTGATCGCCCAAAGGAAGACGCAATTTGGCCGAATAACAAAATACATGTGATGGTAAATATGTGAAAATTATAAGGTTTTATTCATGTGAACTTCAGTTAGTCCAAAGACAGTACATTGTTTGACAAAACTTAATTTCAATATTTTATCATTGCATTAAATGTACCAATTACATGTCTAAAGATCACGGATTAACGTTATGCTAGGTAGCTTGAGATGAGACCACATCATGTTATTATTATGAAATAAAATAGTAATATCAGTATGTTTTTGTTTTGTCTTTTGTTTATGTATTTTCTTTTTTTATTGATACCACATCAAACATGTATTATTATGAAATAAAATACTATTAACCATTTTAGCGTTTTGTGTGAACAGTTTCCGGAAAGGACCAAACTTGCAGACATACAAAAGTCTATGGGACAAACCTGCAAACATGGCAATATATAAAAGTTGAAGGGGTTGAAATTGTCGTTGTTCAAATTTAAGGGGGGTAAAAGTGGCATTTTACAAAGTAAATGAGGTGGAAAGTGTCATTCTACAAAGTAGGACAATGGAAATTGCCAATATACGAAAGTCCAGGGACCAAATCCACCATAAGAAACATTTGTTGCCAAAGTATGAAATAAGAAAACAGATTTATGACCAAAATATGAAATAAAAAAAATTGTGGCCATATTATCTGTAAGGGGATAATTTTTATTACATATAATAATAACCATGCACTAATTGCTTGTTCAAAAGAAAATATATTTACAATTTTATCGACAATAATGATGTATATAATATATAAAATGGATTACGAGTTAAAAGTGTAACCTATTTTTTGTTTTGTACATATTTAGTCATCTATTTTTTTTTCGTTCACATTTGCTTATTAAACTTGTTATCTTGTACACAATCAATAATTATAATCGGTTGGTGTGAGTTTAGCTGGTTTTTGGCATTCTTTGCAGCTCCGACGAGCCTCCAGTCGACTTCTCCGGCTAAACATGAATTTTTCGACGAAGACTTTTTTTTTTGTTGTTGATATGCTCTTGTTCCTGTTCCAAAGTGAAGAAACAGAAATCTCCAAAACGAAATTTCAAAATATGGGTTCAAAACCTGTCATGAAAACCCTCGAGTCTGTGAGCTTCAAATAGATAGAAGGTGTGTGTATGTGTGTTCATCGCATATGTGTCTATTCATCTTCATCTGCGTTCGATTTTTGAAAAAATAACTTACCCCCAAATTTGAGTTTGTTAGCATAATCTGGAAAGAATTCGACTTTCATGTGGATTCTTCTGAAATAAACTCGAAATTTAAGGTTTTCTGATGGGTTTGTTCATCGTGTTCTTGAGATCTTTAGCTGGTTCATCAGAGTTGTTCATCGTATTCTTGAGAGCTTCTTCATATTTAAGTGTGTGTGTTCGCGCACGCGTATGCGTATGCGTGTGTGTTAGATCAGAAGACAAACCCAGATCTGCATGTGTGTATGATTTCATTTTTTTACTAGATATGCCATGGATGATTTATTCGGATTCAAAAACCTTCAATTTCCTTTCTAAAAATTAAGTTTGCTCTTCAAAAATAAAACATGAAATCGTTTATGGGGTTTTAATCTTCAAAAAAACTGAAGTTTTTCTTAAGAAATTGTTTAAGATTTGCTTAAGAACACCATGGCTGGAGGTTGAAGACGATGAACAATGAACTGATGTGTATGTATGTGTGTGTTCATCACAAATCTGATGTATGTATTAGAGTTCTTGAGTTTATGAGAAAAAATGAGACAATAAACTGGAGTTATTGTGTTCGTCGAAAAAATCGTGAACGTCGGAGACTCGCCGAAGCCTCGTAGGAGCTTTCAAATACGTAAGAAACCGGCTACACCTATAATTGCAGGTCATAAGGATGTTTTTCGAACAGTTCAAACAAGTTCAATGGGAAAACATTGACAAAAAAAAAAAAGTCTCAGTGATTAAATCTGTACAAATCAAAAAATAAGGTACAATTTTAAGTCATTATCCGTGTATAAAACTTTTAAATTATTGTTTTTTTTTACTATAATGACAACAAACTTACATTTTTTGTGCTTAACACTATAATAGCCTTGTAGTTACAATGTTATCAATAATAGAGATATATTACATGAAACATATTAATATATAAGTATTTTATAAGCTTAGGTAGTAATACATTATTATTTTGAAAGAACAAATATAGGTATTTCATATTACAAATAACAAATAGAATAATGTTTATTTACGTCATTAATATAAATAAAAATTATCATATATTACGTATATATAATATATATATCAAAGGGGCAAACCTCCCCTAACTGGTTTCCTACATCCTAGTATCCTACTTCGGGTGAAACTGTGACACGAGCTGAGCTTGTCCACAACATTCCTACGCAAAACGACAACTTTCTCATCAGCGGCATAGAATTAAGCAGACCCAGAAACGGAAAACTTCAAATATCAATCTTCCTTCAACCTTCTTACTGAGGTAAACTTCTAAATTCTATAATTTAAACCCTAGTTTCTTTATAAAAACATCATCAATTTGGGTAATTTCATATCCTCTATACTTATCCGCGCTCTCTCTAATTTGAATAAGTATTGATTGGAATTCGAATAATGGGTTTCGTAATTTCTGTTTGTTCTGTTCTAAATTGAATACGATGCGATATCGAGTAGTCCATTTTTCTCGTTTGGGGGTGGGGTTTGGGAAGAGATGAATGTTGATATGGGATTTTGTTGGCATATGTGATGAGTTCACTTGATTGGATATTGAGCTTGACTTGCAATAGTTGTTTCCTTAGGGTCTTTCTGCAATTTACATGAATGAATAAGTTCTTTTTTTTTTAATGGGGAAGGATTGTTTCTTTGAATCTTGTAGTGCTATTTGGTTCTTTTGATTGAGAGGTAGAGTGGGTATGAAATAGTGGTACACTAATTAATTTCCTCAAAAAGTTTCTATCGATCTAGAACTTCTTCAAGGTATTAGAAATTCATCCCTAATTAATTGCCTAGGTATGGATTAATCGCCTAGGGACTAATCGGTATTTTTACAACTGGGACTTATATCAATGGGACAAAGATTGAATTTTTTTTCCTACCCAAAAAGATATGACATGGACTCATTCTCAATCTCTTGTTTGTGCAAAAGACATGAATGCCCTCCTCATCAAGAATGATCTTATGGTCCTAGAAAACATGTCCAGTTATGTCCTGTGTAAGAAACACAGCCTAAATGATCCTTGAGGAGGAATGCTAGAATCTAACTTATAAAATTGTATCATATTGTCTTTTAGTTTTTTTCTAATAGTTTTCCAAGCATATTACAGATACTATTCTTTTTTCCTTTTGTTATAATTAAAGTTGTGGTTTCCATGGTTTTATCTATTCAAGAGTGGTTTAATTGATAGAATATGAAGCTAAATTGAGTTTTGGGCAATTTTAATATCATAGAACATCTTGAAATATTGTTGAACTTTTAGATTATCTTTTAATGTTAAATACAAGAAATATCAACATACTTTCACTAATTAGTTTATTACAATGTTTTACTTTCATTTTTCCTATTACAACATTGTATGTCAAAAAATCTACCCAATTATAGCAATTTCATCTGTATACAAAGCAATTTTGAACACTATAATTGGATATATTTTGTACTTTTGTGATGCTGATTTTGATAATTTTGATGCAGACTCAAGTTCATCAAATCTGTGGTTCACACAGCATCATGTCCTCCTCTGCTCCTGAGTTTTCGGGTATTTGTGACACTTTTGTTTCAATATATTTTGTTCTGATTCATCTACTTTTATTTATGATCATTGTTTCTTTTATCCTGTTAATTTGCACATTGCTTTAAAAACCTTTCCTCATTGCTTTTGAATTTTTGGCATATTATGTCTTTCAAAAGGTCAAAATAAAAACTAAATAACAAGTCATCTGAACTAGCATTTGAGTTACTTGAAATTATTCAAATGAAAAATCAAAAAGTTGTAATTTTTGTGTGTGTGTGTGTGTGTAATAGTATTTGATATTATGTGGATTTGGTGAGACAGATAATAGTGAAAGTGAGATGCAGCAAAGTCAAATGGATGCTCAAATTCAGTGTTCTTCATCTCCTGCAACAACAACAACAACTGGAACATCTCATCCTTCAAACATCCAATACCCAACTTTGGTATCTCTTTGAAGTTGCTGAAAAGTCATTGATTATACTATCCTCTTATTTGTTCATAACTTTGGTAACACTTGCTTTTTATGGTTTATACATACATAATTACATACATACCCCTCCTTTACATACATTCTACAATCTACATATTCAACAAAACTCACTCTTTTGAACTTTTCAAACAAATTATGAAACTTCAACTTGATGTAGCTTAGTCATAATCAGTCAAGCAAACGTTTTTTTTTTTTTTTTTTTATTGGTGATTTTTGTGTGAAGTGTATAATGTCTATTTTAACCTCAGGGGCAAGCAGCTTATCCTTTCCCGGATCCTTACTATAGGGGTACAAATATCTTTAATCCGTATGAAACTCAATCGTATCCAGCTCAGCCATATCCAGGGCAACCTATGGTATGAAATACTAGCTTCATGCATTTGGATTCAGACTAGAACTCTTGTCTGTGCAAAAGACGTAAATGCCCTCCTCATCCTCATTATATCATATTATCATGTCAAGTCCTGATCTTTCCCATGTAACAAAAGCAGCCAATGGGACATTGTGTACTGCGTTTGACCTGCATTGGACTGCAATGGGACATAGGTTGAAATTGTCTGTCAAAAAGACATAAATACCCTCATTATCATCGTTATCGAAAATAGCCCTAGAAAGTGATAGACCTCACTAATGTTCACATATGTTAGGAGGATGAGGAGGAATTAAATAAATCTAGTAGCTTTTATGTGTTTTGTTATATGCGTGTTAATTAGGGGCATTATTGTCTTTTCTATAGTTAATTCGGTGTATAGGCTAGTATAATCAGCAAGTTGCATCTTTTAATTACTTTTATGTTGTGAAAGAACACTAGCCTTTGGATGCTAGGTTACTTTTAATCATTCCATTTCAATCTATCAATCAATTTCTCAATGGTTTAGAAGCTGCTATAAGAAATATGGGAGAAAAATAGAGTGATTAGTTCCCAGAAATCATTGTATAATTGGAATAATAAACACAAAAATTCTGTTAATTCAAATGAGTCTAATGGTCTTATAAGAATTTGTTAAATCAAGAAAGAAATATGAGAGATTATAGACGAAATTGAGATTATAGATGAATTTCAGATCAAGAATTACAAGTGAAAAGATCATAGGGCTGTGGCTGTGGCTGTGTTATAGATGTGATGAAAAGTTATCTCCTAGGCATAAGAAATGAAAGAAAGAGCTTCTTGTTATGGTAATTCATATTGATTATAATGAACAAGATGATGAAAATTAGGTGAAAGATTCACACATGGTGAGTGATACAATAGAAGTAGGTGATAAAGTTGAGATTCATCTCAGTGAAAGGAGATTATTAAACACATTCCTCTTACATAAGTGCACTCATTTTATCGGGTGGTTAAAACATCCTTATACAACTCGAGCAATTGCTAAGGTTTTTGTTAAAGAAGTAATTAAACTTCATGGCATTCTAGATTCCATTATCACACATAGAAATCGCATTTTCTTGAGCAAATTTTGGAAGGAAAATATTAAGTTATATAGGGAACTCAATTGAAACATATTAGGCCTAGTTTTGTCCCATGTTACGCAGCCAAAGGGATCGAAAGCAACATGCTTTCTAGGGCTATTTCAATGATGAGGATGAGGAGGGTATTTACGTCTTTTGTACAGACCAATGAGTGAGAGCGAGTCTGTGTCCTATTTTTTTTAGTGGGACAAAAAGTTGTAGTCTTTTTTGTCCTGTTCACATCAGTCACAGTCACAGTACAATGCTTGTCAAACACAGTACAACCCGTCCCACCTTTTTCAATGAGACAAAAAGTTGCAGTCTTTTTGTCCTATTAACATTAGTCACAGTACAATGGATATCAAACACAGTACAACCTATCCTACCTTTTTCAATGAGACAAAAAGGTTGCAGTCTTTTTTGTCCTATTTACATTAGTCACAATACAATGCATGCCAAATACAGTACAACATGTCCCACCTTTTTTGATGGGACAAAAAGTTGCAGTCTTTTTTGTTCTATTTACATGTATGTACAAGAGGATTTTAATTTGTTTTAGAGGTTGTTTGATGTTTGTTTGTTTTGTTTTTTTTTTTTTTTTTTTTTGTATAGGTGCATCTTCAATTTATGGGAATTCAACAAGCTGGTGTTCCTCTGCCATCAGATACGGTTGAGGAGCCTGTTTTTGTGAATGCTAAACAATATCATGGAATCATGAGGCGTAGGCAATGTCGTGCAAAAGCTGAATCTGAAAACAAAGCTAACAAGTCTAGAAAGGTATACACATTCTCATTTCACATGTAGGTAGATTTTTTTTTTTTTTTTTTTTTTTTACATAAGGATTGTTAAACCTCTATATCATATTATCATTATACTAAAAAGGGTTAAATGCTTGAATTAACAAAGTACTTCCATCTATCTGTTTCTTATAGCATTCTATTTTCATTTATTTGTTTATTATAGCATTTTGTCTTCGTTTTTTTCTACTACAACATATTGTACATCGAAAATTTCGTCCAATCGTAGCAAATTTATTCCATATTCGAAGCGATTTTCACTGCTATAATTGGGTAAAATTTTCAAAGTACAATGTATAATTGGGTAGATTTTTTAAAGTACAATTTTATGATTGGGTTTACTTTTCAAAATACAATGTCTTAATAAGAAAAATTGGAAGTATGGTTGTAATAGAAAGAAGTGAAAGTAAGATGCTTTAATAAACAAATTAAATGAAAATAAGTTTAAATTTCTTTCATTTATCCCTAATAAAAAAAAACCGTTTAAGGCCTTATCCCATGTAACAAATGCAGCCTAAAGGAAAAAATTATGCAAAGGACTTTATAGATTCAAATTATAACAACATACAATAACAGAATAACTAAAATTACAACAATAAAATAAAAGTCAGATATTTTGATAAGGACCCTTTGGAAATATGGTGTGCGTGTCAAAAATGCCCAACTAGGAAAAATCAGTGGGGGAAAAATGACAGAAATGTCCTTGTATTTTCTATGTATTTACAAAATTAGCAGTGAAAATTGTTGTATTTGAATGACATTGCTACAATCGTGTAAGATTTTTCAAATAAATAAAATAAAAGTACATGGTTGTTTCTTGCATTTAACCCTAAAAGTCTTTAATCATAAGTTTATTCATTTTCTAACTTTTGTCAAAATTTTGCAGCCATACTTGCACGAATCGCGACATTTGCATGCACTAAGAAGAAGCCGAGGGTGTGGGGGTCGATTTGAGAAGAAAGATAAGCAACAAAATGAGAAAGGTTCTAATGACAATAATCCCCAATCACAATCACAAATGAACATCAATCTAAACTCGGATAAAACCTAATCCTTCTTCAATGGTGTATAGACAAGTCGAGGTTTGTGGTGGTAGCTTTCGTGTTGTCTATATCATAAAGCTTCAATGGTGATGTCTTTTTGTTTTTTTAGCCGTTGTTTGTTTTGACGGGTAAAATCGTTATGAAATGTTGTCGTTGAAGTCGAATTGTGTTTGAGAGTAGTGAGGTTTTTTCCTTTTTTTATATTTGATTTTGTAGGTTTTGGTAGTTGGTGAAGTATGTTGATGTTGAATAAGTTGATGTAGTGAAGTTGTGTTTTATATTTGTATGATAACCAATGTGTTTTGAGTATTTTTTTTTTCTTTATATTTGTATGATAACCAATGAGTTTATTTTTTTCCATTGTTTTGGTGCATTGTTGTCAGGATTTAGGTTATGTTTGGTGTATTAACTAAGCAATTAGTTGATAGCTGATAAGTTAGCTGATAAAAAATAATGAAATAATGTTTGGTAACTAGTTGAAATATATAAAATAACATAGAATGACCATTTAGAAGATTGGGTTTTTCAATAATTAATAAAGTGTATATTTGGAAGAATTAAAAAAATACTAATAATAATAATAATAACTTAATAAACTCGTTGAAATGCTAATCCGAGTAGCTTTTATAAAAAAACAAGTTTATAATTTATTTATTTTTATTTGCCAAACATGACAACAGAAGTATATTATGAGCTATTTTTTTTACCTGTGTCACTATTAGTTCGTAAACTAGCTTATCAGCTGGCAACTAGTTTTTCATTGATAAAAAAAAAGAGTTAAAACATGGCATGAATTAAGTTTTTAAAGCATAACAATAATTTCGTCATTTCTATATCCATTTTAATGTATAAATCAATTGTTGGAAGCTTTTATTTTCTTAGTTTTTTATTAGTCTTAACAAGAATACATCGGGTTTGATTTAATCCGGATATATTATTGTTAAGAGTAATTAAAAACTTAGAAAATAAAAACTTCCAACAATTGATTTATACATTAAAATGATATAGAAATGATGTAATTATTGTTATGCTTTAAAAGCTTAGGTGTTGTTTGTTTTTTCTGAGGCAAAATGTATGCAGTCTGCGGACCACATCTGTAGATCTCTGCAGTAGAAGAGGTGGACCAAACGTCTGCAGTCTGAAAAAAGAAGACTGTTTGTTTTTTTAACATCTGCGGGCTACTAAAATAAACTGAAATCTAAATAAACTGATTTTTTTAAACTTCAAAGTGATTTTTTTAATATTTTTATGACTTTGTTATAAATAATTAACGAATCTAGATCAACTTTTATGTATTATTGTATAAAAATAAAAATAAAAATAAAAATGGTATGAACTAACGTATATATTTGATAAAAACCAACAACTTTGGTTGCGAAGTTATAACTAAACATTATAATTAGTGATCAAAGAATTTGATACATAAATGGATAGAAATAAACTTTGAGTTTTTCAATTAAATCCATTAAAAACGTACCATAAATATTTTCTCGAGAAATTGACGATATTGTATTAAATAATGTTTTACAAAATTTGGCAAAAAAATATAAGAATATATTATGATTTTTTTTCATATTTATATAAACAACTTCAACGACTATTATTGTAATAAATCTTTATTTATAAATTTGTCAAAAATATCATGTTTGTATCGTCGAATTTTTTTTTTGAAGTTTTGTAATTTTTTTTTTCAAATTGTTTATCATAAATAAAGTTGGAAAAATATAAATTAAAAAAAAAACGTAAAAAAGATAAAGATATATATGCTTTTTTAGGCTAAAAGATGTCTGAAGATGTTAGAAAACTCTGGTCCACATCTGCACCAAGAAGAGGGTGCGCAGACATTTTTAGGTCTGCAGTCTTCAAAAAAACAAACAGTCTGTGAAGGCTAATGTCTGCGCGTGGTCTGCGCGGCGCAGACAAAAGAGGCCACGCAGATCTGCAGACAAAATACAAACACTACCTTAATTCATGCCATGTTTTAACTCTTTTTTTTTCAGTGTTCGGTGTTCGAATAGAGTAGCTGAAAAGCTAGTTGACAGCTAATAAGTTAGTTTATGAACTAATAGTGACGGTAAAAAATAGCTTATAAGCTAGATTGAATGTAAAATGACATAAATAGACATTTAGATATATAACTAAAAGGAAATATATATATATATATATATATATATAGATATATATATATATATATATATATATATAGAGAGAGAGAGAGAGAGAGAGAGCTAGGATCATATGCATATATATATATATATATATATATATATATATATATATATATATATATATATATAGAGAGAGAGAGTTAGGATCATATGCATATAAACAAATATTGTGTAAATGTGAAACTACTTCTTGGCCGATCATTAAATATTGATTTTTTTATTTTTAAATAATTAATTAAAGTCAATTTAGTCATTTTGTATAAACTAAGTTAAAATATTATCTTTTAATTATGGTAAATATTTTAACTTGATGCCTATATCTATGGTAACATTCTCTCTCTCTCTCTCTCTCTCTCTCTCTCTCTCTTATGTGGCATGAACTGCCGCATTTGTGCTTTTTCTATGTTCCAATTGCACAAAGAATTACAAAAAAATTGTCCTAGAAGAAAGAAATTGAACGGCCAGGTACGTGTTTCCACCACCGCTCAAGACCTTCGATACATATTTTCCAACGACGATTGTCTTCTACGATAGTTAGGTACAGAAAAATAAGATCCATTTAATTCAGTACATGTCACACCCCAAAACCGGAACGGCGGAAACGTTCGGGGGCGGAGGACGTCATGTTTAGTATCACAAGACATGCATCATAGTAATCAAAGTGGTAAACAACCATTTCATTAGAAAGAAAGTGTTTACAAAGTATGTGGTTCACATAACATAGACTACAAAGTAAATAACAAAACAAGACATGAAGCTATACTGCTCCACCTTCTGAATCCCAGTGCGCGTACCTGTCTACTGGTCTCCTGAGAATACAAGTTATTTTGAAAGAGTAGATCAACATTAAAGCTGGTGAGTTCATAAGATTTTAGTGATGTAAGTAAGTTGTAAGAAAGTTGAAAGTTCTGTTTAGAAAAGTTCGCATGTTCCTCCAGAAATTCCTATATTTCATGCTTTAATGAAAGATAAGTAAAAATGACTCTACAATCCCTTTCTATGAGTACTAAATGGATACAAGTTATATAAAACCCAGAGTAAACAAACAATCGGTTGTGTGTATCTGCCCTAAGCCCACAACCAAACAAGGAACAGGAAATGAGGCGGAAGGCACACAACCCATTGGTTGTTAGATCATCGTTGTATATAACCCCGGTGTATTCACTTGGTACTCACGGAGTTAACTGTAATAGTTCCTTTATATTTGATGAAAAGACTCTTTAAGAAAACCCTTATTTCTTTTAGTAAAAATGGAACCACAATGGTTCCTTTTATAAACACTTAGTTTATACTAGCTATATATAATCTAATATCAAACAGATAGTTAATTGTGTGAATCTGCCCTAAGCCCACAACCAAACAAGGAACAGGAAATGAGGCGGAAAGCACACATTCAACTACCTATCGGGTATTAATTATATATAACCCTGATGTATAAACTAAGGTATTATAGAATTAACCACCTAAGGTCCTTTAAGTTATATTGGTTTAATAAAATGGATTAAACTATTTACTGGTTAAGTTTCTAGTTTTGAATACCAAATGTTCTATTTTCAAAGTATGTTTTGTACTAGAAAACTGTGCATTGAATTAGTGTCCTATGACCTGACCCATACCTGGTACCCCTTATGATTACTTGGTGTGTACGGAATATATACGTAGCTAAGATCGAATAAATAGTAGGCTGGGTGAATCTGCTCTAAGCCCACAACCAAACAAGGAACAGGAAATGAAGCGGAAAGCACACATCCTACTACCTGTCGGATCTGATTAATATATATCCCTGATGTATAAACTAAGGAATCCCTGATGTATAAACTAAGGAATCATAAAGTTAGCATTATAGGGCCCTCTCTACTGAATGTACTAGACTCGACTGTTCTGTTTGTAGTTTGAAAAAATGTAAGTTTTCTCTAGTTTATAACTATCTTAACTCGAAAATAGTTTGCATTAACTTTCAAGTGGAACTGTCACAATATGAAAGTAATGGGAAAATGCAAGTACACAGTTGTCTTTTGAATCGACATCCTGACGTACTGATTACCTTAAAACATGTTTGTTTTATTAAGGTCATAATGTGATGGATACTACCCATACTATACGCTCTCCCTGTAAGAGATTCATAGGACCAGACGCGACTTCCGCAAACAAATTTCTAGGCCCGTGTAAATTCACATTAACGTTATATGATCATGTATACCCAATTTACTATCACCTTTTGTTTAGAACAATGAGTTAATGATTATTGGTATAATTAGATCCTGTATTGTTTCCCCTGCTATAGCATTAGTATGTTCGTTCTGTTATAGTATCTTAGTATGTTCTTTTTGTTATCGCGTATTGTATCTTCCTCCCTGTTTCTCTTTATAGTATGTTCTAGCATCTAGTATGAACTGAACCCCTAAACTATACATACTATAGTTTACTAGCATGTTTACTTGAACTGTTATTGAAAAGACTCATTTATCTACTAAGTTATGATTGTACTTTAAAAACGGAGTTTTATAAACTATAAAGTAACATAACTTAAAAGAGTTTTTGAAATGCTTTGATCACTTATAAAAGACATAAGTAATCTTTTGAAAGATGTTTATAACAAACATTAACACAATTATCATTGTGTTCAACTTGTATCCCCCCCCCCCCTTAAAAGCATTTAAAACAGTTTAAAAGATTCATTATAAGGGTATGAACTCACCTTATGTGGGTGATTCAAACGAATATGCGCGTAAGGATGAGAAGTTCCACGAATGAAGTCCCAAGACACAAACGAGTCCTAAATGACATATATTAACATATATTGGCATGAATATAGTGTTTAGAAGAAAACACATGCAAGGAAACACCTTTAGGGACTAGGAAACACTTGGACCAAGTGTTAGAATCACATGTGATTCATCTATGGGGA